AGCTCCTGCAGGATTAGTACAGAAATCAACAAAGGCAAAGTACAAGAGAATTGCCGTCACATTGTTTTGTCGGTTACGCCACACATCCGTAATTTAATAATTAAAAACAAATATCTCTCCCTATCATGGGCAAATATAAAAGTTGATGATTATGTTCCAATTCTCCGGTGCTTTAAGTGCACAGGCTTTAATCATATGGCCAGAGACTGTACAGAGTCCATTCACTGCAGCCACTGTGCAAAAGAACACAGGTTCAATCAATGCAAGGAAAAACAAACAACTTCTTGTTGTGCCAACTGCATCAGGTTTAACAGAGAGCAGCAAATGATTAAAAAAGTTCCGACAAATCACAATGCCTACAGCAGGAACTGCCCCACACTGATAAAAATCAAAAGATAAGACAGACGGATTATGGGGTCTAATAGCAACAATGGTACCACTCTGCACTCGATAAATACTCAAAGGAATCGTCATAGTCAACAAAACAGGCACTACAATAATAAGAATATAAATTTTACCATTCTGAGCATAAACGTACAAAGGTCAAAGGCTGCATCGTCCATTCTCCTAAAAATAGCAGAGGAACAAAGAGCTGACATTATGTGCATACAAGAACCATACCTCGTGGGCAACTCCATTGTCAGTTATGGCAGTTGGAGAGTCTTCCCTCATCAAAACTTCACTGAAACAATCAAATCTGGCATTCTCATAAAAAACAAAAATATTCCGGCTAACTTCTGCTCCGATCTCAGTTCAAAATATACTACTACAGTACTGCTCACTTTAAATAAAAAAGACTTATACATATCATCTGTATACTGCTCACTATTTGAGTGTATTGAACCTCTTCTAGATAACCTACAAGAAATTAATAACAAGATCGGAAGTAAACCATGGATTATAACAGGCGACTTCAATGCCAAATCGCAGACTTGGCACAGTCCTGAAGAGGATGGAAGAGGTTATAATGTCTGCGAATTTCTGTCAATTAATCACATGATATCTTGTAATACAAGTCCCTTGGCGACTTACTGCTGTACTAGAGGAAGGAGTTGGGTAGACATAGTGATTGCTAATAAACATGCCCATAACCTTATTAATTCCTGCTATACAATAGACGAAAACGGAGGAAGTGACCATAGATACATCAAAACAACCATCGTTAATACTGATCCGTCATTAAAAAATTACAATAACCTCAAGAAGATTACTAATTGGACACAATACCAAGAACTTTTCAAGATTCATTGGGCACAGCCACAAACACAAGATCTCCACGAAATTGAAGACATTGACACGTTAGCTGCCCACCTTACCACATCAATTATCACCTCTTACCATCAATCCACCACAATTATAGAATCAAAACGGCCAATCACCCCATGGTGGAATAACTCTTTGAGTGAGCAAAGGAAGAAGGTTTGCGGGCTATACAAAAGATACCAAAAAGAAAATGATCCTATAATTAAAGAGACAAAAAAGAAGGAATACTTACGAGATTTTAATGAATACAAAACTAGCATAAATAAAGCCCGAACGATAGCGTGGAGGAAATACTGCACTGAAATCGGCAATGGATCAACATGGAGCGACCCGTACCATATAATTTTAAAACCAAGGAAAAATATCATACTCCCAGCATACATAGACAAAGACGACGGAACACGAACAACGAACATGAGAGAAACCTACCACCATCTTCTCAACACTTATTTTCCAAAAGATGACAAAGAAAACGACAATGAAGAACAGACAAGCATCAGAAACTCAAGTGAAACGCCACCAGCAACAAAAAACGATCCCCTTTTTACTTTTAAAGAAGTTGAGACAGCAATAAGGACTATGAGAAACAAAAAAGCTCCAGGAATAGATACAATAACAGCTAAAATGGTGAAGCAAGCTTTTAATGCTGTACCGATCGCTTTCATTTATACATACAATAAGTGTATGGAGCTCTCTCAATTCCCACGCATCTGGAAAGTTGCACCCATCCATTTTATTCCAAAGACAAGCAAAACCAGCCATAGCAATGCCAATGACTTTAGACCAATAAGCTTATTACGCACATTGGGGAAAGTCTTGGATGGACTTGTTATAGGAAGAATTAACTTTCACTTATACAGTAAACAACTACTACACCCAAATCAATATGGGTTTGTTCCCAAAAAATCTACTAATCATGCCTTACACAATGTCACTCAATTTATTCGTGATGCCTGGGAAAAATCACATCATGTCCTCCTTACTTCTATTGATTATCATAATGCCTTTAACAATCTTTGGTGGCCAGCATTACTTCAACAACTTAAATCATTCCAGTGCCCAAAAAATTTATATCTATTAATGAAGGATTACCTTAATAATTGTACAGTTGGTGTATACGACATGGGTAATCCACTTATACAACCCATGACAAGAGGCTGCCCCCAAGGATCTCGTTCCAGTCCAGGATTATGGAACATCATGCACGATAGCCTTCTGAAAATCAAGCCTAATAATATAAATGCACAATGGTCATTACAAGCATACGCTGATGACACTCTGATTATGATGGCACATAGGAATAGCGAGAAAATGCAAACTGAAGCTAATAAGTTACTAAAGGAAGTAAACAACTGGAGCATAAACAATAAGCTCGAAATAAACATCAATAAGTCAAGTTGCATGCTCATGACCAAAGGTAAACAGCTTCAGAAACCGCCATCATTAAAAATAAATAATTCTAGAATACCGTACACAAAGGAAATGAAATATCTTGGATTTATCCTGGACCAGGGCATGAAGTGGAATTCCCACATTGACCACATTTGTATGAAGGCAACAAAATTATCTCACCTCCTTTGTTACATAGGGGGAAAAAAGTGGGGCTTGAATAGCACTACCTTGACTAACATTTGCAATCAAGCCATAGAACCGACAATACTATATGGATCCCCCATATGGGGAAATATCTCTACAAAGGCTCATATAAAAAGAACACTACAAAAAATACAAAGGATTAGTCTTTTACATATAACAGGAGCATACAAGACAGCATCTACAGCTGCTCTCCAGGTTCTGGCGGGTCTCCCACCACTATATTTAAAAGCTAAAGCTAGTTGGGCACTCTGGAGGCTGACAAACCTCGACATCCCGGATCAAAAGAAAAAAGATCTGTACACTTACTTAGATATTGGTAGCCTTCCTAACTTGAACATCGACGATCTTTTCCAGCTGAACCTGAATACAGACATTTGGAATACTGCCCCACCTCGTCTTCATCCAGCGAAAGAAATAAAAATTAATGTTTACTCGAATAACGAAAATACTGAATTCCCTCATACAATATTTACAGACAGTTCAAAATCTAACAAAGGTGTAGGTTATAGCTTCCGTTCACTATAAAAAGAACAAGAATGGACAAATTCATAAGGAAACGTACCGGCTGGCAACTCATTGCTCAATCATGCAAGCTGAACTTTTGGCAATCCTGAAGGCCTTACAATATGTTAATAGCAACGTCAAAATCAACAATACTCATGTAAACATCTGCTCAGATAGTAGAGCTGCTCTTCTTAGTATTTCAAACAATAAAAATAAAAACAGTTTACTTTGCCAAATCTCAGAAGAACTATCAAATAATAAAAATATTGTTACTTTTCAATGGCTACATGCCCATACTGGAATACAGGGTAATGAAGAAGCGGATAAAGGGGCGAAAGAACTAACAGCTAACAGCTCTTCAGAACCATGTTTTCGTGACATTCCAATCATTTCGATAAAAACACTTATCCAACAAACAACTATTAATATGTGGCAGAGACTTTGGGAGGAAGAGACAACAGGACGAATCACCAACAAGCTGATTCCTAACATCCCACTTAGGCTTAAGAGCGAACATTTTAAAGTGGACTTTATTGTAAGTCAGTTATTCACCGGTCACGGGAACTTTCTCTCTTATCTACAACGATTTCACCATAGCAACACCTCCACTTGCAACTGTGATGGTTCCTCACAACAGGACACCTTCCACCTAATCTTCGACTGTCGTCTCTACCACCAGCAACGAGCCAAGTTATACCAAACTGTTCTCCTAGAAGGCTATAATTGGCCATGTGCTTCTAGTGCTCTTGTATACAACAAAAACATCTTCAAAGAACTGTATTCATTTATAAAAGAAACTGGTGCTTTAGATGTGCATAATAATATTAATTGAAATTTTATACACACCTCCTTTGGAAATTGTTTGTCAAGGTGTTATACCTAAGACTGGTGCTTTTGTCTTTTTGTAAATAATGTATATAGATTGTTCTATTTTAATACTTTGTAACAGCAAAGAACGTGCTGCCGTGATCTTAAATTCTACATCCCCTTTATTCACAACTGAATGTAACATCTGATTGTTAGGACTAGTTTCACGTCATTTTCGTACTGTGCCTTTGTCTTTTTGTAAATAATGTATATAGATTGTTCTATTTTAATACCTTGTAACAGCAAAGAACATGCTGCCGTGATCTTAAATCCTACATTCCCTTTATTCACAACTGAATGTAACATCTGATTGTTGGGACTAGTTTCATGTCATTTTCGTACTGTAACTCCAAGTCATATCCTCCTGTTGCACCGTTTGCAGTTTCCTTATGTAACACCCTCAGTATGGGCATTTTGTCATACTGTTAATATGCCTTTTACTTATGTAACAATTTATATTTTGTTAAATAAAGTACCAATACTGACACCCATGTAACTCCCACTTTCATCCTCTTTCCTATCTCACTTTACTTTTCCCCTTCATCTCTTCCCTTAATCCTTTCCCTCTCAATCCATTTCAAACCAGGCAATACCTACAAGTGGCCCTGGTCTTCATCCCCTTTAAGCTAGTATGTCTAGTATGCCTAAAGCTTCAGTTAATGTTTAGTTTTATTAATCTAATCATTAACATTAGCTAGCCCACAATGATGCTAAAGGTTAAATATTTTACTATAATATAATATTATATGCAGATTTGATAAATAAGATACCATTATTCAATCTTAGAGAATCATTTCCTTCAGGAATCCAATCATCCTCACAGTAATAATCATTTTTAGAACTCTCCCCATCTTCGTCATCATCTTCATCCTCCTCCTCCTCCTCTTCCTCTTCCTCTTCCTCTTCCTCTTCCTCTTCATCGTCGTCACTATCATCTAAAACATCTTTCAATTTCGATATATCTTGTAATAATTCTATACTGTCATCTACAAGTTCAGCCATTGTTTATTTCTAAGGAAATCTCTAATACTTCTATCACACTATAAATCCCGCCGTTGCCAAACGATATAAAAACGTTATAGGTGGCGATGAACTAAATAGAAACTTCTAGTAATAATAATGATAATGATAATAATATTTTTAAAAATTTATAATATGTGTAAATAAAATTTTAAAAATAACTTTATAAGAAATAGAAGTAATAGTTTTGTATTAAATAAATAAAAAGTAAATGAAATTATTTACTTTAAAAATTTATAAAATGAATCGCTTTTTTTTAACTCTTTTCTGAGGAAGCGAAAAAAAAGGGCTATCTTATAAGCCTACATGGCGGAGATTTAAAAAATAAAATTATATCCATCCGGGAGAGCATTTAGGCAATTGTTATTGAGAGGGAGTGGAGGCGTGGGGCCTAATTTTGCCAGCTGATACCGCTGACCATTTATTTTTCTTTAATTAACACTTTTTACCTTTTGGCAGGATGGCCGAGCGGTCAAGGTGGTAGCCTATCGCTCTGGAGATCCGGGTTCGAATCCGGACGGGTTGATAAATCTCCAGGAATTTTTCGGGTGGTGGTCCGTTCGAATATGTCGGGCCCCGTCCTTCACCAGCCGGCTACCCCATTGTGGGCCAGGCTTGCTATTAGAGGCCATCAGGGCGGAAAGAATTTTAAAAAAATTCCCTATGGTGAATTTTAATCCGTGTACTGTAATGTCGCTCCATTTATTTATTTTTTTCCAAAATCATTACAGATATTTAAAGGAAGCTGGGTTTGATATTTAAGTAAAGATATTTAAAATATTAATAAAAGACTCGACTTTAATTAATTAATAATTTTTTTTTACATCAAGACAATGACATTACAAATGGCATCTTACTAACGAGATTAAACTAATAGCGTCATTCGTATTTTAATTAGTATAATTTCTAATATCTTAGAATATATATTAATCTCATATTGTATATTATAGAAATAATAAATAATATATATATATACAGTATTATACTTTAAATACAAAAATAACGAAAAATTTAAAAATGTTTTTAAAACTCGATACAACGCAACGAAGAACACGATTATTTAATTATATTTCGTATTCTATTGAGAAAAAATGTTCGATTCAGAAGGTGGACATTAATCAAGGTGAGATTTGCTAGCGGGATGTTCAGTCTATAGCAACGGTTCCCAACCTTTTTCGGGTGGCGACCCCTTTTTATAAAAGCCAAGTGACCCGCGATCTCGATACTATTGAAAAAGACATTTTTAATAAGGTAATTTAAAAAAAACAACGAAATTAGTTTTTTAGTATAATTTTATTTTAAATTATGTCTAATAATTTAATGCGATTGTTGAAATTGTATGTTATTAACCAGCCTTAAAATTCGCTGGTGAGTTTTTGTTAACGCCAACCTCATGTCATTCTCAACATTTAATTTATTCCTCTCAAACTTTCAACACATGATTCAACCAACTGTGACGGAATAGCGTACCTAGATTACATTTATTTTCAGTTTTTAAAAATACAGTCGACCCCCTCTTATAACACTGTAGATACGTTCCGTTTTTTATGAAATTGATGTTTTAGGAGACCTTGCCAATCACAGCCCGACATGTGTGAAGTTTACGGACTACGGCTGTTTGAAAGGTTTTCTTCCATAAAATTAATCGATTCCTAGACTAATTCGACTCAACATTTCCAAAATACGTATATTTTTTTGAAAATAATCCGTATAAACTACGTTATAAACAAAAAATTGTAGGATTGCTTACCGAGTGTGTACCGTTCGACTACGCCCGTTGCTAAAGCTTGGTTTCGTCGCGGAACAGCGCATCAAACCGCGGCCGCGATTTCTGATATTATTTTTCTGCGAAAACTTCGTTGACCTTTGGAGACATCATTAATATAAATAATTTTTATGGCCGTTAAATAAGAAATGTTTCTTTCACAAGAAATGTATGTACAGACGATACTAAACTCAATTTACCCGCCTAAACTGTCTGTAGCGTAGCGCTGGACGGCGGAAAGTATATATTTAATTATAATAAAGTTACAATAAATTAAGTTAATATATAATTATGTATACAGTACCTAATTTATATATAATTTATATATAATACTGTACAGACGACAGTAAACTCAATTTACCCGCCTAAACTCTCCGAAGCGTGGCGCTGGACGGCGGAAAGTAGTTCGGCTGCCCGACGACGTTTTACCGAATTATAGGAGTTTTTTTTTTACCATATTTCTACGGATACCGTCGCAATTTTTTCGCCGTCATATAGGAATCCGAATTATAGGAACCCGTGTTATAGGGGGGTCGACTGTATATCAAATTATCCAAACTTCAAGACACCATTAAAAATAAAAATTGTATTACTGTATAGTGAACATTTTTTTTTTTTTAGTTAAATGTATAAGTTGGCGACCCCACAGAAAGCCCGTCGCGACCCATAGGTTGGGAACCCGTGGTCTATAGCATAATCACTACAGGAGAAAGCGCCGAATATACCCAGCCAAACCAATGTTCTTGACGGGCGGATGACCGAGTGGTCAAAGTGGCAACCTACCACTTTTGGGGATCCTGGATCGAATACGAACTGGGTCGAAAAATTCCCAGGATTTTTCGGGAGTTATCTGACATGAGATATTGGGCCCCGTCTCTCATCATCCGGCCGCTCCATTTTGGGTCTAGCCGAATCCTTAATGGGCTTGCTAAAAGAGATCCTCTTAGTCCCTACAGGACAGAGTTTTTAAAAAAAAAACATCAATGTGTCAAATGTGTCCGTGACACACGCTTGCCTTCTGAATATCCCGCTAGCAATTTGTATCTTTTAGGAATTGAACATGCACAGATATAATATCACTCTACACGAAGCTATCTACTGTTTAATCATTACTATTTCATCACATCTATTCACTTACATATCAGACACTTCTCATTTACTGACTCGACAAAATGAAATACCGAATAAACTGCGTCCTATTAATCCAACCTTTGGATCATCGTAGCGGAAAGTGGAAACGTCAATTTAAAGATAGTAAAACATTAAATTGACGGTCGAAGGGGCTCTGGTATTTAATGAATTTTCAAACAACTACTTTAATTAAGTTTACTATTTAATTAATATATTAAAAAGTTTCCTAGCAATGAAGATTAGAGACCGTTTTCTTATTTAAGTAGAATAGTAATGATATAGAATATAAATATAAAATCCTACGTAACATAATAAAGTTTATTTATTTATTTAGACATACTAGGCAGAGCCCATGATGCGGGAACATAATAAAGTTTCAGAATTTTTAAATTATCTCAAAAAAGTTTTGTCTGATGTAAATTGAGTTAAGGAAAGATGAAACGTAGATATATAGCATTTTTTTTTTTTTTACATCTTTCCGCCCTGTGGGTACAAAGAGGACTTCTTTAAGCAAGCCCATTATGGGTTCGGCTAGGAGGCCTGGTGGTGAGAGAGGGGTGCCAACATATCCGGTCGGACAATCCCCGAAAAGATTTTTCGTTACGTCCTAATTCGCTTCCAGATCTTCCAGAGCTATAGGCTGCCACCTTGACCGCTCGGCCATCAGGCCATCGTCGGCACTAGTATACTTGACGCCCTTATTTATATGGTAATCTAGAGTTATTGTTATTATTCTGTTTAGCATTGGTTAATTGTAACTGTAATTAAAAATAGGTATAATTTAAATAAACAAAACAGAAATAAAAGAATTACTTAGTGAAAATTAAAAGAAAATTCTCCGGTTGTATTTCAGATGCGTTTACTGTCATAGCGGTCAATCTTTACCTATGTGCACCGTCATGATGGCGGTCGTGACTGTTCGTGCTTCTGACGGACTCCTCCAGGAGTGGAGCCGCCGAGTGCCAAACATTACTAGTTATTGATTCACGGTAGTTCTTGAACACACGTATCAATAACTAGTATGAAGTGCCGCCATGACAGTATACGCATCTGAAATTTAACCAATTCTCCTTTCGCGTTCGTCAACGATGGGCGAAGTTACCGTCATTAGCGGCCTTAGCATTAAGTGCCTTTAAGCCTTGCAAAAATTGCTTAGTGCGTTTCGCCGGCCCCGAACTTCAGACGTTTCATAAGCGATATGTCTCGAAAACTTCGGACCCAGTTTATCACCATTCACCATCCGGCTGCCCCCATTATGGGCCTGGTCCAACCTGCCCTGTGGGTACTAATAGGCTTTCATATAGTCCTTTAATTGACTTTTTTTTTAACTCTCCGACCTTTTACTGTCTTTTTTTTTTTATTTTTTTAAAGAAAGAAAATTAATATTTTTCGCCCTTAAAAATCATATTTATATTTTCGACACCAGAGTACGCTGCGATCTGTACACATTCGGCATTTGGGAAATTTTGTGGTCTAATGTTGCTTCGTAACTGTTCCAATAGTAAACGAATGGATAAAATCTCTTACGTTTATTTATTCAAAAGGTAAGTATGGAAAGTTAACTTCTTATTATAATCATCGATCGGAAGTAGAAACCATTAACTAAACGACGATTTATTTACATGCATTTTATGTTTTGATGGTGAACTTAATTGATACACGGTATTTTTTTTTTTTTTTTTTTTATACATATCATCTGT